CCAAGAAATAAAATCTGTCACTACCTCCATTTCTTCCCCATCTTTTTGCCAGAAAGTGAGAGGACCGGATGTCAAGATCTTAGTTTTCCTAATGTTGAGTTTTAAGCCAACTTTTGTGTTCTCCTCCTTCACCTGCATCAAGAGGCCCTTTGGTTCCTCTTCACTTTCTGCCATGAGAGTGGTATCATCTGCATATGTGAGGTTGCTGATTTTTCTCCCAGCAACCTTAATTCCAACTGGTGATTCATCTATCCCCACCTTTCTCATGAAGTGCTCTACATATAAGTTAGATAGGCAGGGGGACAGTATACAGCCTTGCCAAACTCCTTTCTCAATTTGGAACCGATCAGTGGTTCTGTGCCCAGTTCTCACTGTTGCTTCTTGACCCGCATATAGGTTTCTCAAGAGACAAATAAGATGGTCTGGTACTCCCATCTCTTTAAGAACTTGCCACAATTTGTTGTGATCCTCACAATCAAAGGCTTTAGCATAGTCAATGAAGCAGAAGTAGGTGTTTTTCTGGAACTCCCTAGCTTTCTCCATGATCCAGCATATGTTGGCAATTTGATCTCTAGTTCCTCTCCCTCTCCGAAATCCTGCCTGTACTTCTGGTAGTTCTTGGTCCACATACTGCTGGAGCCTAGCTTCTAGGATTTTGAGCATCACTTTGCTAGCACGTGAAATGAGTGCAGTGGTGTGATAGTTCGAACTTTCTTTGGCATTGCCCTTCTTTGGGATCGGAATGTAAACTGACCTTTTCCAATCCTGTGGCCACTGTTGAGTTTTCCAAATTTGCTGGCATATTGAGTGTAGCACTTTTACTGCATCTTCCTTTAAGGTTTTGAATAGCTCAGCTGGAATACTGTCACCTCCACTGGCTTTGTTGTTGCTCAGACTTCCTAAGGTCCATTTGACTTCACATTCCAGAATGTCTGGCTCGAGGTCAGTGACCACCCCATCGTGGTTATCAGGGACGTTAAGCTCTTTCTTGTCTAGTTCCTCTGTGTAATCTTGCCACCTCTTCTTAATCTCTTCTGCCTCTGTTAGGTCCCTGCCATTTTGGTCCTTTATCATGCCCATCTTTGCTTGCTTGCTCATATCTCCAGTTTTCTTGCAGAGATCTCTGGTCCTCCCTATTCTATTGTTTTCTTCTATTTCTTTGCACTGTTCATTTAAGAAGGCATTCTTATCTCTTCTAGCTATTCTCTGGAATTCTGCATTCACTTGTTTGTATCTTTCTCCTTCTCTCTTGCCTTTCGCTTCCCTTCTTTCCTCAGCTATTTGTAAAGCTTCCTCAGACAGCCATTTTGCTTTCTTGCATTTCTTTTTCTTTGGGATGGCTTTACTTGCTGCCTCTTGTACAATGTTGCGAACCTCCGTCCACAGTTCTTCACGCACTCAGTCTATCAGATCTAATTCCTTAAATCTATTTGTCACCTCTACTGTATATTCATCAGGGATATGATTTAGGTCATACCTGAGTGGCCTAGTGCTTTTCCCTACTTTCTTCAATTTAAGCCTAAATTTTCTAACCAGAAGCTCATGATCTGAGCCACAGTCAGCTCCTGGTCTAGTTTTTACTGACTGTTTAGAGCTTCTCCATCTGTGGCTGCAGAGCACATAGTCAATCTGATTTCTGTGTTGACCGTCTGGTGATGTCCATGAGTAGAGTCGTCTCTTGGGTTGTTGGAAGAGTGTTTGCTATGATCATCGTAGTCTCTTGATTAATTCTACCAGCCTGTGCCCTGCTTCATTTTGTACTCCAAGGCCAAACGTGTCTGTTATTCCGGTTATCTTTTGGCTTCCTACTTTAGCATTCCAATTCCCCATGATGATAAGGACATCATTTTTGGGTGTTAATTCTAGAAGGTGTTGTAGGCCTTCATAGAACTGGTCAACTTCAGCCTCTTCAGCACCAGTGGTTGGGGCACAGACTTGGACTCCTGTGATGCTGAATGGTTTGCCTTGGATTCGAACTGAGATCATTCTGTCATTTTGGAGATTGTATCCCAGTACTGCTTTTCCTACTCTTTTATTGAGTATGATCCATTTCTTCTGAGGGATTCTTGCCCGCAGTAGTATACCTGATCGTCCTCTGAATTAAATTCACTCATTGCTGTCCATTTTAGTTCACTGATTCCTAAGATGTCGATGTTCATTCTTGTCATCTCATGTTTGATCACGTCCAGCTTACCTTGATTCATAGATCTTACATTCCAGGTGGCTATGGAGTATAGATCTTTGCAGCATCGGACTCTCCTTTCACCACCAGATGCATCCGCAACTGCGTGTCCTTTCGGCTTTGACCCAATCGCTTCACTCTTCCTGGCGCTACTAGTACTAGCCCTCTGCTCTTCCCCAGTAGCACATTGGACACCTTCCGACCTGAGGGGCTCATCTTCCGGCGTCGTACCGTTTTGCCCTTTGGTTCTGTCCATGGGGTTTTCATGGCAAGGGTACTGGAGTGGGTTGCCATTTCCTTCTCCAGTGGATCACGTTTTGTCAGAGCTCTCTGCTATGACCTGTCCATCTTGGGTGGCCCTGCACGGCAGAGCTCATAGCTTCATTGAGCTTCGCAAGCCCCTTCGCCACGACAAGGCAGTGATCCATGAAGGAGCAGCTTACTATAGCCCAGTTTAAATGCTCTTCTCAGAACTATGAGGACTAGAGGGTGGCTTGCTTCATTTACAGCTCTGGCAGAGCCCATATTTACAGGTGATCAATTCCAGAGTCAGTTTCTGTCTCTATGCAGGGCTGGGAACGAGCTCCCTTCTGTTCACTGTCTCTGGACAGACAGTGTTAAACCTAGAAAGGCTTGTCTCAGTAACAAGCACTTTCCTGTATTCCTATTTAAATTCGCCCTTTGTTCAGAGAGCAGATCTTTTTCCTCCTGAGCGTCATGTTCCATTTCCGAATGGCTTTTGTGGAGGCTGCAATTCCTTGGTCAGGGTTCAGGTCCTGCATGCAAAAGGGGTGGAACTAAACACCCCTGCTCCAAAATACCTGTGGCTGGTTTTAGCTTAATGCATGTACCTTTGGCCACTGAGCCTTGAAAGAAGCAGCCTGAAGGTTTAGAATGGGGGAGGGGGAAGTGCTGCAAAAGCAGGAACACCCCCAGGGGTGGGCAGCTGGAGGAAGGAGGAGGGCCAGGGAAAGGGGATTTTCTGGGGGTGACTGTGGGCAGATTTGGGCGCCCTGTCAGATCACCCAGGAATTCTTCACCCTGTTTTTTGAGCATGCTGAATGCCCCGGCTCAGCACCTGGCACTTTTCCAGATTGGGCTAGGAAGGGCCCCTGCCCAGGTCCTGGAGAGTTGCTGGCCAGCCAGGCAGGAAAGAGCAAGCCTGAGAGCTGGGCCTTTGGGGTCTTTTCTTGCTTAGCAAGACCCACTGCTGCCTGTGTGCCTTCTATGTTGATCCTCTGCTCCTTGTCCGGGTTGAACTGCTTGGAGGAAATTTCTGGAATTCCTCGCCCTTCAGCTGTCCTCGCTCATGCGCTGCGGCAGGTGGGGGCGGGCGGGGAGTGGTTCCCGCGATCCGCAGAGAACACATGAGGTGGAGGGGGTTGGGACTGCACGGGAGGATTTTAGTCCCTGCTGGAGAATTGGAAGGAGGGGCTGGGCACGGAGCATGAGGGAGGTTCATCCAATGGCACGAGAGGAACTTGAATTTGTGAGCTGGTGGCTGGCAAAATGGACGGGATGGCAGATCCAGGAAGGGGCACATGCATGGGACTCCATCCTGCTAGTGGTTAACTTATGGGGCTCCCTCCCCAAGCCACAGACCAGCCTTGAACTACAACTCCCAGGATTCCGCCAACCAGCTGGACCAGGTGCCTGGAGTTACAGCCCAAGACAACTGGAGGGAAACCTGGTTGGGGGCAGCTGATCTTGATTCCTTCATTAATCGCATTTTCTAGAAAAGCCAGTTCACTTCCTGGCGGGAGCCCTCCAGATCCTTCTTGGAGGGTAATGCACCCTATGTAATGCATCAAGGCAGTGGCTTTTGTTTGTTCCTCAATGTCTGCTAATTCTGAGGCAAGCCATATCTGAGCTAGGAGTTTCCAGTTCTTTATTTATTTCAGGCATTTTTATCCCACTGCTTAGTGTACTTCTTCAAAGGCTCCTCAAATAGCTTGCAATAAATTGGGGTTACCACAGTCGCTGCCTTCAAGTTTGATTAAAAAAAAACAACAGAAGTAAAAGGAGAGGGTGAAGGAAGAGGAAATAGGAAGCTGCCTTTCAGCTGGGCTGCTAGAATGGCCCCGTTTGCCCTCTCATCTCCCTCCAGTACAGGCTGCTGCTGCAGGAAGGATCCTTCACATCTTCCCTCAGTGCTAGCCAGACAGAGTGTCCCAGTTGCAAGCGAGTCTGCCTCTGAATACCAGGAGAAAATCAGATCCACGGTGGGCCAGTGCGTAGCCAGAGAATCGCTCCTTGGAAGACAGGCAGAGCTGGGATTACACCAAAACTGCACCAGGCTGCCAGTGGGGAGGCCGGCTTCCCCAGCCCCGTCCGTCCGGCTCTCCCTTCCACGGGACTGGCCAGCACCTCCCCTCGCAGTGCAGGCCTCAAGTGCCGCTTACTTGTCCCTGGTGGCCCTTCTCGAGTGTTAGGCCAGTCCATTTTGAGGCTGAGCCTTGGAGCCTGATCCTGCAGGTCATCTCGATGCTTTTCTTGTCCGAGTGCCCTTCTGAAGACTCTGCCCCCAAACTTGGCCTGTATGTGCCTTCCTGCCATCCATAGATGGCATAGTAAACCAATGGCAGAGCATGCAACTAACAGGGGTAGTTCTTAAATCTTATTTTATTTCATATATGCTTTTCCCTTACAACACCTCCAGATATTTTGGATTGTGGTTCCCATCAGCCTAATCACAAAGTAAGATTCTAGTGCACATGCTTCTGAGTAATAGGCTGATTTAAAAAGGAATGTAGGATGCTAAGTAAGCCTGTGCCCTGTACAACATTTCATTTCATTTATTTTTCTTATCTTTGGGCAGGTCGAACCGGGACTGCCAAATTGACCAGCACCATCGCAATCAATGCCAATACTGTCGCTTGAAGAAGTGCTTTTGTGTTGGGATGAGGAAAGAAGGTAAACTTTGCAGGGAAGTGTGTGTCAGGGCAGAGTGAAATGGGACTAAAAGGCCAAAAGTAGTTCCCAAATCCAGTGTGAAAGCTGCTGGAAGAGTAGCCATTCTTGTTTACCATGGTTAAAAAAATGGAGTGCCTTTGCTTCCTCATAGGCACATGAAATGCAGCCTGCCTGGCCATTTTCATCCACAAGCATCTGTCTCTTGGCAGCTGGGAAGAGTAAGATGCTCATAATCACGAGTCGCCTGGAAATTGCTGTCTGTGACATTCCTGTGCAAAATTCAAATGTGTTTGCACCATGGCGTGCTAACCAGAAGCGTAGCAGATCACAGGGGGTGAGAGAGGGGCCAGGTCTAGATTGCATCCCCAGTGAATGAAATCAAATTTTGTTTTATGGAGGTTAACCCCAGCAGTAGTGAGGGAAAGCCCCAATCCCCATTGAGTCACCAGTTAATGAAATCAAATGTTGCTTTTCCAGCTTCTGCTTCACCAGTAGTGAGAGAGACCCAGCGGATGAACTACTTCTAAATGTTGCCAAGCCCCTCTCATTCAGCAGCTTCATTCTGGAGAGTCCCTGTGAAGAATGACAGCTGTCAGGCTGGGGAAAGTGTGGATCAGACCCTGGTGTATCCACGCCAGACTTTCTTTAGATTGCCTTTCGTAAAAGCTGTCCTAAGGCATGTTGCAGAGCTGACTGTGTCCTTTGCAGGGCTGACTGCTGAATGCAGCAGGAATATTAAATATTTCAATCTGCTTGTTTGTTGCTTTCCTCCACCCGGTATCCATAATCTCATGTGGCATCTTTGCACCCCCACCCCCTTATCTGTGCTGACTCAGGCACAAGGCTCTTGCACAGTTGGTCCACAGCATTTTTTTGTCCTTGGGCCAGGGGGCAGATAGATATATTTTGTCAAGGTCAGTGTAGGTTCTTTTCAGGCCTGGCTGGGTGCTGGCCACTGCATGGGATAAAAGGTTGGCGTACTTCCCCTGGCCGAAGGACTGAAGCCAAAGTAAGACAGACAGGACAAAAGAGGAAATGGATTATGAAAGGGATTAAGACAGCATTAACAATTTGCTGATTGGGTGGTCGTGGAACGATTCGGTGGAATGAAGGTGGCTGGGAGATCGAAGGAGATGGAACCTGAGTGGTGACTGGAAAATTGGGATAGAGCTCATCCCACAGGGGCAACAACCTCTGGACCTTTTGGCCAGTGGTCCCATCAGCTCTGTGCAGCATGGCCATTGATTGGGGATGATGGGGCCTGTAGGCCCTATCTAGAAGGTACTCTGTTGCCTATCCAGGTGTGTTGCAGTGGCTTCTCTGTTGAGACTTTGGGGTTGGCATGATGGTGAGCTGGGGTTAAGGTCTGGCCCTTGGCTCTAGTTGAGAAGCATGACTTGCAAACCATGGATTGTTCCTCTTGCCAGGCACTTGATTCCGTGCCACATTTTGCCCCACAAAGGCTCTTAGAGCTTCACTGGCCTTGGGTTTGCAGTCTGAAAGACGTGATGCAGAAGCAGCATGGATGGGGAGGGAAGAAGGGAACCCGCAGGTGGCAGCTCTCAGCTTTGGAATTTTCCAGGGTGATTTTTTTTTTTTTTGCTGGGGCAGGGTGAGGGCAAGCTTCTCTGGCCAGTGTTTGGGGTCAGGTTGGCCTCTGAGCAGCCCTTGCTTCACTGTGGAATAGAAGGTGATCCTGCTTCCCACTGCCAGCCATTCCTGGGACTGCATTTTATGGCAAGGTCAGCACTTGCTGACCTTTCTTGCCACAAAAACTTGCTCCTTTCAAAGAGAGGTGCCCTTTGGTTCGTTTGGACTTGCGGTGTTGGTGCATCCTAGAACAACAGCTGCTGGGCAATTTGCCTTGTGAATGATCAAGGCCATTCTGCATGTGGCTTGTCTTGCTGCTTCTGGGCCATTTCCGGGGAATTGGATTGCAGAAAAGAACTAGACGCAGATGCTTCTTTTAGGAATCTTGTCCAGCAGCCCCCTTCTAACTGTCTTGCAAAAAGTAATGCTCCTGTGCTCAGGGCAGTTTTACCTCTGAGGACCAAACAGCTGAGAAATGCTGCATAGCGTAGGGCCAGGTCTGCACTGGGGTGCCTTCCCTGCACAGACAGGGTCTGGGGCTGATGGCCAGTGGAGCATGCCAAGTGGTGCGAGCGGCAGGCTGCATCCTCAAGATATCTGGCAGGGAACCCAGCAAGGCTGAAGCCAAGCCCAGAGGGACTGGTAAAACAGGTGGTGTTTGTGTGGGAGGGCAGGGAGAGAAATGCCTCAAGGGCTTGAGACCTTGCATGACTACTCAGGAGCGATAAAGGTTGCCAGTGGAAAACAAGAAGCTTAGAATTGTGCCCATTGTTTGAGTTGTTGGTGAGCTTCCCTGCCTCTGGAAGTTTCTTTCTGCCACCCAACTGGAACATCCAAGTCTCAAGAATGCCCAGTCCAGAATTCTGGGTGAATTATTGAAAAAGCCTTTGAGAGCCTTAATCAGCTCAGATGAAAGGTTTGTCTTCCCCCAGTGCCCTGCTTCCAGTGTTGGGCAACTCAAAAACAAGGTACCAGCATGGAGGGCTCTCCACCCGTCAACCTCAGCAGCACCTGTTCAGAGTAACAGCGCTTGTTAATGCAGAGGCTCCGTTTTGAGCTAATTGCCCCTGGGACAATCTCTCTCCAGGCTACGTCAGTCAGAAGCTACATCAGTCTTTCTTTAGCCCCCAGAAGTTGCCTTAAATCCAGTCTCCTGTACTGCATCACAAATACCTGCTGCCCAGAATCTGCTCATGCGGGCATTCTGCTTCTGGCCTTGGACACTTCCCCTCGCTTTGGTCTGATCCAGCAGGACCCTCTTCACTTGGTGTGATTATGAGGCCAGTTTATATCAGAGTGAAGGGTCTCTCAGCACTCAGAACCCCCAAATGGAGCTTCCATCTCCAAGAATAGTCTGTCCCAGTGAACGATCAGCAGGCAAGCTGGTGGGGGTGCCTTCATGTCCTCCTTGGGCACTTCCCTTAAAGGCCTGGGGAGACAAGATGCTGGGCCACATCCTCCCTCATTTTTGGGGTTCAAACCAGCCCTCCCCCATGCTGAAATGTTCCTGAACGGTCAATCCAGGCTCCTCTGGAAGTCCCGCTTTTTGGAGCGCTTCCGTTGCGTGGAGCCCATAGTGTCTCTGCGTGATTTATGGCCCCAGTTTCTGGCATGGGATGGCAGTGCCTCCATAGAGGGGGAGGGGCAGTGGGGATGAATTCTGGGCAACTTGGCATGTGTTGCCCTTCCTCCTCCGTCCGCAACCCCCACGCCCAGGGACACTCCAACAAAGGCTGCCCTTTCTCTTTCTGCAAACCCAGGTCTCTGCTGGCCACCTCTGGGGAGTCCTCCGAAGAACCGAGGGGCTGCATCATGCACAGGGGCGGAGAGCACAGTGCTTGCGGCTGCTGGTGAGCAGCTAAATGGTTCCTCAATGTCTAGGAGCACACAACCTTGGAATGATAATTTGCAGGAGTTTTACACTGCCCCCCACCCCACACTAAAATGTTTCCAGAGTGGCTACATGGATCATTACTGAGACTGTCCCTACCCTTCTGCTTATAGTGCAAGAGTCACAGCACAAAAGGTGATGTGATGGGGAGGGAGGAGGAAAAAAGAGCAGCCCTTGGGCACTTGCTCATTGTTTCACAGGGGTTCTGTCTGGCAGGAAAGGGTGAGAATGAGCTGCCTGTGTCTTTTCTCTCCTCTGGCTGAGGAATGGGGCCAGGCTTGTCTCCTCATGCCTACTGCATTCTTCTTGGGAAGTACATGGGTTCACCCCCACCCCCAAGTCCTACATCCTTTGCTCAGTGCATGAGTATGAGACCTGGGGGGCAGGGGAGGCCGTCCTCTTCTGCTTGCAGCTTCTTCCTAATCAGAATCCAGGCTTGACTGTGAACTTCAGGGCAGAAGGACCTGCTTGACTGCTCTTGTACTCGCTTGGACTTCTTAGGGGTCCTCACACTGCTCCACGGGATCTATTTTGTCAGCAAGGCACCTGCCCTTCGGGACGGAGCCAGGTAGCCATTCCAGATGCTAGCCCTTCAGTCAAAGCAATGCCTGGGGTGGTGGTGGTGGGGCGAGCTGAGGGGCTAATCCAGCCTTCCCCAGCATGAAGTCCTGCAGACAGGTTGGACTGCAAGTGCCACACTCTGCTTGCTAACTGGTTCCCAGCACACCTGGGAGTGCCCAGGGTGGAAAAGGCAGCACTAAAACCATGCCATTATGTTTTATTTTATCTCTCCAGTTCAAGCTGAAGTTTAGCGAAACCCTCAGGGCCTTCGTTTGGCCCTCTATCGTGTTAGGTTTGCTGGAGGGCCGAGAGAGAGAGAATCATGCCCCCATCCTTTTCCTAAACTGATGCTCTTCTGCAGTGCCCCTAAAATGGTTGGGATTATGGGATTTGTGGCCTGGCACATCCCAGACTGGGGAGGACCGTGCCAGCTCAACAGAACTCAATCACCACACATGTGTTTTGTCCTTCCAGCTGTCCAGAGGGGTCGAATCCCGCCCACCCACGCAAGCGCCAGCCCCAATGCCGCCCCTGGCGGGGAATACTACAACGGGCAGCCAGTCTCAGAACTGATCTCCCAGCTCCTCCGGGCTGAGCCGTACCCCGCCGCCCGCTTCAGCTCGCAGTACGCCCAGCAGGGCAGCGTGATGGGCATCGACAACATCTGCGAGCTGGCGGCCCGCCTGCTCTTCAGCACGGTGGAGTGGGCCCGCAGCATCCCCTTCTTCCCCGACCTGCCCGTCTCGGACCAGGTGGCCCTGCTGCGCCTCAGCTGGAGCGAGCTCTTCGTCCTCAACGCCGCCCAGTCCGCGCTGCCCCTGCACATGGCTCCGCTGCTGGCGGCCGCCGGCTTCCACGCCGCCCCCATGTCTGCCGACCGGGTGGTCTCCTTCATGGACCAGATCCGCATCTTCCAGGACCAGGTGGAGAAGCTCAATCGGCTGCAGGTGGACTCTGCGGAATACAGCTGCCTCAAAGCCGTTGCACTCTTCACGCCAGGTGGGGACTCTGCAGTGGCACATCACGGGGTGGGCCATCATGGGGAGGCTGCTCTGGGCCAGTGGGGGGTCACCGGGGCCCTGTTGCTAGCCTGAGTTTCTTTGCTGCCTAGGAGCTGAAGCTCTCTGGGCAGCAGTTGAAAAATGCAATGCAAGGTATAAACAGGAGAAAAAACACCCTAAATTTCACTAGGGATTTAAACCCAAATTTTAATAAGCTGAACAGCTGAGACTGCTTCATCTAGTTCAGCCAGCTAAAAGCAGCTGCCTATCCCCAACCCCGATAGTATTCAGAGCTCTGAAGTGCCTTGGCATGGAAGGCAGTCTTAGCCTGGTGCCAAAAGGGTAGCAGAATTGGCATCAGGTGGGCCTCAGTGGGTTGCTGGTTCCATAATTAGGGGGCTACCCCGGAGGAGGCCCTGTTCCTCCATGTTGTCCCCTGCTGAGCCTCCCCTGGAGGTGGTATCTAGAAGAAGGCCTCAGATGTTCAGCACAGCGTCCAGGTGGCCCACGGTCAGGCAGGTGCTCCATCACATGGTGCAGACCCAGGCTTTGTGGGGCTTATGGGTTAGCATCAGCCCCTTGATCCCGCCTTGGAAGCGTATGGACAGCCAGCCCAAGTGGACCAGGCCTAGCGCTGCTTCTGTGTTTGGCCCTTCTGGCCCCAGGTATCCGTCCGGCTGCTGCGTTTTGCACAGACTGCAGCTTCCAAGCCCTTGAGCCAGAGGTGACTTCTTGCGGGCCAGTCTGGCTGCAGGCTTTGTGTGTCAAAGGAAGTGTGCTTCCAGAAGTCTGGCTTGGCTTGCCTTGGCTTCTGGGAAAGGTCTTGGTTCTGGACCCTTCTGGGTTTCCCCCTTCTCCTTTTTTAAACTCTAGAATGTGTACATTCTGGCTTGGATCCAGGATCTGCCTTCCAGGATAGTTTGGGACTTTTCATGAGAGGATGGGACTTTCTGACCAATTCTGGGAGAGTCCCCCTCCTGCCCACACTGTGGATCACCCCACTCAGCCCTGGCTTCTTGCTGCTCATCACATTTTTAGAAGGCTACAGTGGCTTCTTGGGTGCGTGGGAACGCTGTTTATCGAATGCAGATCTAGGTCTGGCCCTTGACATGCCAACTCAGAAGGTTTTTCTCTGTTCCAAAATCCTCCTTTTTTGTGGTGACGTCTCCTGCCAGAAGACAAAATGAATGGTACCAAGGCAGACCAAGAATGTGGCATGGGAAACTGGCAGTATGACGGAACTGTGGGGATTTCATCACTCCTTTTGCTCTGCACGGGGTTTTGGCACACGCAGTTCTGCATTTACTGATTTTGTATGGCTGGGCAGAAGGGCTAGTAGAGGAAACGCTTTGAATTGGAGTTAGGGAAAGCTGTTGTCAGACCTCAGTTCCCAACATGGCCAGTGGTCAGGGATGGTGGAAAGCTTTGGAGGCCTGTAGATTCACCTTCCCTATCGTGAACAAATGGCTGAATTGCCCCTCCACCCCTTCCCTTGGTGCCCCCAGCTGATCCCTGCAAAATAATGACCTCAAGGTTCTTGACCTCTTGCGGTGTTGGCGGTCAAGAAGGATGTGATCATGCAACTCAGCTCCTGCAAAGAGCCATCTTTTGGTTTGGGGCAAATCTGGTGTCTCTTGTGAACAGTGCCTGGGACCAGAGGGGACAGCTCTTGAACATCCCTCATCTGGGCTGAAAGTGCCTCTCTGCTGTTTCATGGAAATGGTTGTGCTCAGCCCTGACCCCAACCCCAACCCTGACCGCGTCTCACGTGGGGGCAGCTTCTCTGAAGTGGGGTGCTTGCTGGAAGCACCACCTTGTGTCTGGATGGAGTGTCTGCATGCTTGTGGGGAGCTTCACAAACCCCCAAGAACCCCTGTCAGATCTTAACCTAGATGGGCCAGTGCCCTGCCAGCTGCCTATGTTTTTGCTTAACCATGAGGACTGGAGTCTTTGTTTGTGGAGGAAGGGCTGCAATTCAGCAGTACAGCCCTACTTTATAGGCAGAAGTTCCCAGGTTTGATCCCTTCCAGGTTGGTCTGGGAAAGACCAGCCTGACCAAAGTCCCAAAGTGCAGCTCCTGATCTGTGGGAGAAGTCTGCGTCTGATCGCCAGCTCACGGGTGGGGGAGCAACGCGGAGGAGCATCTCTTACTGGAGGTAGTGCCTGGATCCCCTGCAAGGGGCAGAGCTCCGATCCCTGTGTGCTGCTTTCTCTCCTCAAGAAAGGCCTGCAACCCAGAGAACGGCTGCGGGCTCCAGGGGTCACCTTGGGGTGCTCACAGGCTGGGTTCTGCACTCCTGAGGCAGTCCATGCACCTCACCTGAAAAGTCTCTCCCTCCCCCCCCCTGTGCCTGCAGATGCCTGCGGCCTCTCGGACCCTGCCCACGTGGAGAGCCTGCAGGAGAAGGCGCAGGTGGCGCTGACAGAGTACGTCCGCTCGCAGTACCCCTCCCAGCCGCAGCGCTTTGGCAGACTGTTGCTCCGCCTGCCGGCTCTTCGGGCCGTCCCAGCTGCGCTCATCTCCCAGCTCTTCTTCATGCGGCTGGTGGGCAAGACGCCCATCGAGACGCTCATCAGGGACATGCTGCTCTCCGGAAGCACCTTCAACTGGCCGTATGGATCCGGGCCATGAGGAGGACTCCTTCCAGGGCTGTGTTTCGCAGCGGCCACACCGACAGCCCGGATGTTGCGCTTCCCACACTGAACTCGTGCAATGTTTGATTTTATGCCCCTCAACCCTGGGGGTGGCAGGCAAGAAACCCAAGCAGATGCCCCCTCTGCAGCGAGAAGAGATGTCCCCTCAGCGCTGAATGATGGACTAGATGTGGGAAGGGTTCGGTTTGGGCATCTCCCCCTCCTCTCTCCAGCAGGCAGAGGAGAAGGAAACATCACCTCAAGTTCCTCTGTTGTCTCGTCCCAGTTCAAATGCCTTCTTCACACCACATTTCGCAGGTCAGTGGAGGCCTCTGGGGGTTCCTGGAGGGCTTCTCTGCCTCCAGTCCCAACATTCCTGCACAGGAGATGCTTCTGCACCTCGGCCTGCTGCCAGAGCTATCTCCTGGCTGCCCAAAGCAAAACCACACTGTGGAGCCCTTTCCAGATCAGAGGGCCCAGCAACATGCTTCCAGCTCCAGCCAGATCTTCTCTCCTGCCTCACTTTTTTCTCTTGAACCCTGCGAAGGAGCTGTTGCGAGCCTCCCTACTTTGTGGCCGCAGAGATGTTCTGACATGCTTTTAAACTGGGGCACTCTTTTACTTTTACACATGGAGATGGAGTTAAATCCTAACTCAGGGTGGAGAGGAGAGGAGAGGTTTTAGAGCTCTTGCCAAGCTCAAACTGTCAGCCCTTCAAAATTGTTAGGGATGCTGGAGAAAGTTGGTTTTGCCCACTTCCTCCTGCAGCGCTCCAAATGCACAGGAATGCATCGCTTCCAAATGTCAGAACTTGCTGGCCTTCTTCTCCTTCCTGATTCCCAGCTCGACTGGCACATGTTTCCTCTGCAGAATGAATCGGCCCTGCTCTGGCCTGTGGAGGAACTTTGCACCAGTTTTACCCACAGCAAGCGGAGAGCAGGAATTGGACTTGAGATGAGCAGACGGGATGCTCAGGATACCCTGGCAGTTCTTGTCCACTGCCCGACCTGGGCCATATGTTGGGAAAAGGTGCTTTTTCCTTGGAAAGGGGCCTGCATGCACCCGCTCTGGTGTGCCAAGAACGAAGACTGGGCTGCTGAGGCCAGACGGGTACTGGTCTACTTTGGTAGAAGGCAGCATCCACTGCTCACCCACCAAACCTTCCAGTGGTGCTTTTTGACCTTTTGGGATTAACCTTAACTCTGCACCAGCTGTAATTTCTGTGTGCGTATCAGGATTCTTCTCTCCCTCTATTTTCTCCAACTGCATCAAACACCCGCACAGCCCAGGCTGCCGTAGGCTGGGTCCATATCAGCTGGCCATTCCCCCATGTTTGTGAAGATGCTATGCAAAATTACTAAGTGCATGCAATGGAAATATACCCACAAATCAATGGTGACCTCCTTGCTCTTGGGTGTCCATCACTGGTTGGGCAGTTTGACTAAAACCTGCTGCTGCTTTCCCATTTGTGGTTGTGCTTCTTTTCTTCCTGGTTCTCGGACTGCTTTGCAATATCATTCTGCCTGCTTGTGTCTGCACATGCTTGTGTATCTTAGGGTCCTTTCAAAGACCCCATGTTGGGAAGTCCACTGTTGAACTCATTTTGAAGACAGGACAAGTGAGGCCAAGAGGTTGACTTGCCTAAAGTCTCCCTTACATGCCCAGGAGAGCAGTGAGATTCAAACTCAGGTCCCTCAGGTCCAAAGTACTGGTTGTAATCTATGCAAACTTCCCACCCCTCAAAATTCTGCACCAAGGAAAGTCAAATTTCTGTGCTTGGAATAAAAAGATGCTCCTTTTGTTTTGTTTAGTATCAAATGTACATGATGATGGTGGTGGTGGTGGTGATTCTAACCTGGTTGTACAGTATGGTTGCAGAATAAGCCGTCACATTGTATAAAGGAAATTAAAGGGTGCTTTGCTCGGTCTTTCCAGAGCCTTCAGGAAGGCAGCTTTTCTTCTCAGCCAGTCCTCCAAACACCAACAGAGGAGCATACCAAGCACCAGCTCACTTCTTTCTGTAACCCAGCAAACTTCTGGCTTTCAGAGAGAGACTGTCAGAACCTGGAAGATCTGTTTTGCTTCCATGGTAAATGGCTGTTGGTAGACATTCTCTTCTCCCATCACATCCTTTCTAAAGTCCTCTCTGGAAGGCTTGGGGAGCCCCTGCTTTTCCTACAAAGGAATTCATCCCCCAGTATCTCCAGAGAGGTTTTGGACACACCTCGTCCAGGGATGGGAAACTTGAGACTCTGCAGATGTTTTGGATGGCAGTCTCCATCAGCCACAGCTATAACAACACTGGAGGAGGCAAATCAACATCTCAAAGGCCAGTGTGTAGACCAGAGTAGAGGGCAGGTTCCTTTTTCTTGTTAAATGAGCCCTTTATTCTCTATCATGAGGACTGGAAACTTACTTAGTTTTTAGAAAAGGGCCTTAGCTCTGAGACAGAGGTCCTGCTTTTGTTCTGTATTTGATCCCTGGCCTGTTCAGTGAAGGTTGGGAGAAACCTTGCCTCCTGAAATCTCGGAGGGCTGCCGCCTGCCAGGGAGATGGCCCTGAGCTAGATGGACTGATGGTGTGACCCCATGTAATGCAGCTTCATGCATTCCTGCACTAATGATAATTTCCTTTGCCATCCTCATCGCACCATCCTTTTGCACCTATAAAAAATGTAGCATCTTCTCGGGGCATTTGCCTCTGCTTTTTCTGTGCCTTCTCTTTATTCCTGCGGGTGCACCTCCATGGCAGCTGACTCAGCAGTCCCCTGGGTTCTGCTTGCTACCTGCTCGTGCCTGGTGTCCAGCACGGGCACGTGCTGTTTGGGCTGGAGGATGCAAAGAGCGAGGCACAAGCTGGGGCCCAGGGCAGGTCCACAGGCAGTTTGCTGGTGAGCACAGAGCGGCCATTTCTGGCCATGGGCTCCAGAACTGGCACCCCGAGATTGTGGACTGCTGGCCCTGGAAGTCTAGCAGCCAGGAGGGCATCAGCTGTTGGCTGACAGCTCGAAGTTGCTGCTGCATCTTGTGGCTGAGTGTTGCCTGTGCTAAGCCCGCCTTTGGATGCCTGGATGCCTTCCTGAGCACCGCAGGGAATGGGGGAGGCTGCCCGAGATGGATCTTGCTTTGATCTGGAGCAGCTGCTCGGTGCCAAACCAGGCTCCAGGCGTGAAGTCCCGCTGGCCTGGATGCCACTCCTCGGGGGTCCAGCACTCCTTGCAGCAGCACTGTGCGTGCGGTTGGGGCCAGATCTCCCCCGCCCCCCCGTCTGGTCTTCCTGCCAGCAGCGCAGTGCAGTGCAGGGTTGTCTTCCTGCCCTCTGAGAGTCGAACTTGGTTGCCACCCAGTAGGACTGATGGACTGCCAGTTGAGGAAACAGCCCAGTGGGTGGAGCATTCCTGGTGCACCCACCATACCCAGCAGAAGAGGCCTCTGCTCTCTGGCTTCCCGGATGCGTTGGTGTGCCAAACGGGAGTGCAGGACATTCAGAGCCTGATCTGGGTGGAAGCGACGCCATGAGAAGGGACTGCAGGTTCAGGCATCAGGCCGTATCATCCCCTGCCAAATGCCCATGAGTTTCCAAATCGACTTCCTGGACAACTTTTCTCTCCAAGCACTTAACTTTTGCATACCATGTCTGATGCTCTGTGTAGTGATGTCTTACCCTCAGCCATCTAGCTCTCTGCCTTCTCCACTTTAAGCTTCAGGGCTGGGGTTTAAAGATTGGGCCCAATCCACCCAAGCATGAATGGTTTGCAGTCTTTTTGTCTATTCTTGTGCATATCTAATTCAATCCAATATGGCTTCTGGGAACTAAATCCAGAATTGGTCAATGAGTCAATCTGCTGAAATCAGTGGCACTTAGAATTAGCCGTGACTGACTTTGCTTGTTTGATTTTCAGTGGGTCTGCTCTTAAGTATGACCAGATCTGGATCTAACCCAAAGAGTTTTGCTTTGGCTGAATCATGTCCAATAATTACAGCAAGGCTCAAGCCCAGCCTTAATGATTTGGTTTAGCAGACACTTACTTCCCTTCTGCAAAACCTGCAACCCTTCTTGCGTTTGGCTATAATGGGAAGCCAGATTTTTGCTTTTGCTTTTGCTTTTGCTTTTGCTTTTGCTTTGCTTTGCTTTGCATTTGGTGGGTGGGTGAGAATGGGAGCCATCCAAATAACCGAGAGGGGAAAAATGACTCGGGGGAATTTGTAACCGAAATTATTCCTGGTGAGCTTATTCCTCATCTGATAGATGCTCTACCAATGAATCAATAAAAAGATTTTTTAGGAAAAGGGCCACACTGATTATTTGTGTTCCTTGGGGCGCAGAGTGGGGCACCATCGCTCCAAACAGGAAGGTCATCAAAGCACCTGCTCTGTTTGCACCCTTCTGAGTGGTGCAGCTTTGTGGATCTCCTGGGAATCAGCCAGAGAACTTGAGAGCTGGCAGGGAATCCTGGAGGTCATTTAGTCCAACCCCATTGCTTGGTGAAGGCGTAGCTACAGCAGCTCTGGAGGAGGATCTGAATACCTCCAGTTTGTATTGTTGGAGATTTCACTACCGCCTAGTGAAAATTGGCCACTGCCATTTCTACCCTTCATTTCTCGTTCTGGAACAACAGAAAGCTAGTCTGCTCCACCTTCCCTATGGCAGCCCTCTCCTTCACTTTCTCTTCCCCTGCCTAAGCCTCCATGATTTTTCCAACCATTCCTCTTAGGATGTGTTTTCCAAACCCTTAGTCTTTGTGCTTTTGAACAAATTGTTTAAACCACCCAGAGAGCGTTGGCTATGGGGCAGTATAAAAATGAAAAAAACAAAAACAAAAAACCCAAGACTTTGCTTCCAAGAAATCCAAATTTGCCTGCAAGGGGGTACACCTATTTCACTACGTTGCATTTATTTTTGCAAGATGGCCCTGTACTCCCTTCCTGATTTAGGTAAATTTAGAGCAGTGAACATTCATCACAGGTAACAAAATAAAAACAACACCTTGAAGCCCCAGGTGGTCAGCTGGGAGGTCTTCTCAGCAGACAGCACTGTGTTATAGTCTGCCTGACCTTCAGAGGTTGGGAGCATCACAGGAAGGGAGCCCCCACTCTGGAGGCCCTTTTCCAGGTGGACTCTGGCTTGGCCAGGAAAGCATCTCCTCTGATGGCTTCAGTGACTGAGGGAGGCTGGCTGACTAGATATTTACCTGAATAATGGGTAGTAAGAAATTAAACACATAAATAAAACATGTCCAGCTAATTTGGCATGTTTGGTGATCTGAAAGGGCCAAGAAGCCATCGGCCTCCCAGATGTTGCTGTTTTCAGCACTGTCTACTCAGAATTAAGACCCAAGGACTTCAGGAGGTCTTACTGCAAGGTAAATGTGCATGGGATTGAGACTCAAGTTGCAAGATGGACCACAGTTTCTACCAGCAAACACCCACAAGTAAATTATAGATTGCATGAAGGATTTTTCTTGTCCATCTAAAACCTGCCAATTAATTGCATGCTGGTTTCTGTACTCTTTGGAAGAATGTTGAAGTGGGAAGAGCTAGGCCTGATCCTGCAGATGCTCAGCATGCACAGTAAGCCTGAGTTCAGTCACACATGGATACAGTGCTTGAGTGAGTACTGGTTATCAGTTAACTTTCTTTTGTTGAAATGTGGGGTGTTGTGTTGTCTGGACCTAGCAATAATGACAAGTCATGGTTTGTTAACCATGAAGAATCCACAGTTCATTACTGAGAAGCCATGATTTCATGGGTACAGTTGACAAACTATGGTTTGTTACCATTTCTATGTTCCAACAACCTGGTGTTTGAAACTCACACTTAACCCATGCTCAACTCTTGAATAGTTATTCTGTGAACCCAGCCAATCCCTTAACCCTCATTTGCGATTAGATCTTGAATATGAAATTCTGCTTTGTAAAATATTACTTCTGGCAGAGGATTCCTAGAGTAAAAATAGGAAGGCACTCCAGGCAGGAGTCCACCTGCCCTTGCAAACTGCTTTAGAATGCCACCGTCAGTGGTCAGGGACAAGCCAGCAAAGCAGCCCTGCCTTTTCTGTGATAAATGGCCCAGCCAAGACATTCCCCCCACACACGAAGTCATTGTCTTTAGCGGGGTTGCTGGTGCCTAGTCCACATGGCTAATTCTGTTCCACCACTCAAAGCAGACGTTAAAGGCAACCTCTGGTACCTGGGCACCATTCCAGTGTTTCTAAATGAGGCCCCTCAATGTTAAGCCCAAACCTCTCTGGTTGCAGGGAGGGGCCAGAGAGGACAACAGGGGAAGAAGGAGGCTAAGGAAGCAGTTGGGCTACTGGGTGATGCTGGAATTAATGGCACTGATGTGGGAACAGGGAGATGGCGGAGAAGATTAACGGACCCTTTTCATCAGCCTTCCCAGCAGAGGATCCAGAGCACATACCTGCCCCTGAGCTTATGTATTCTGGAAGGGAATCTGAGAAATTAAGGGATAGTAGTGACAAAAGATTTGAATTCTTGAGCCTGTTGACAAATGGAAAGTCAGCAAGTCACCCAGATGGCAACTATCCTAGAGTTACCAAAGAATCGAGCATGAAATCACTGACCTTCTTACCAAAATATTTAGCTTGTTCCTAAAATCAGCCCTTGTACCAGAGGATTGGGGAATGGCCAATGTAACACCAATTTTTTAAATTGCATCCATAGAGGATCTGGGAAATTAGCTTAACATATGTTCTGGATAAACTGAAAGTATTATTAAATCGTTAGTGAAAATCAGTAAGCACACAGAAGGGCAAGGCCTGCTGAAAATAATTGGCATGGCTTCCATAAGGGGAAATTTTGCCTCACCTACTGGAGTTCTTTGAGAGTGCCCATAAACATGTTGACTGGAGCAATCCAATAATTATTTGCCAGGACTTCTGAAAGGCTTTTGACAAAGTCCCTTACCAAAGGCTCTTGAGCTAACTTACCAGTCATGGAATAAAAGATTGAGGTGGGGGGTCCTCTTATGGATTACTGGCTGGTAAAAAAAAAAAAAACCCAAAAAGCATGAGACTGGGAATAAATGGAGAGATGTCACCAGATGTCACGAGTGGAGTCCCACAGGGTTCTGTATTAGGACCAGCACTTTTCAACCTATTTATAAGTGATTTGGAATTGGAAGTAAGTAGCGAAATGGCCAAATTTGCTGATGAAATTTTTTACAGTTGTGAAAACCAGAAGAATCTCGCCAAGCAGAGAAAGTGGGCATCAAAATGGCAAATGCAGTTCAATATATGCAAGTGTAGAGTAATACATGTTGGGGCAAAACAAAAACAAAAAACCAAGTTCAAGCACAGGCTGATGAGATCTGAACTGAGCAAGGGAGAGATCTTGGGCTCGCAGTGGGCAGCTCAATGAAAATGTCAGCCCAGTGCGTGGCTGCCAAAATCTTACTTCTTTTATACTTCCTTCTTTGGTGCAACAGTACTTAGAACATTTTGTTCAGTTCCAGTCCCCTTATCTGAAAAAGGGCATTACTGGGAGAACATGCAAACAAAGCAAGTCAGGAGGGGCCTCCTGGGCCATCTAGTCGGACCACCTTCAGCTGGCTGCACTTGTGCAATCCCCACCATGTGGGTGTCCAATCTTTCCTTAGAACACCCTCCCTGATGGGGCCTCCACCACCTCCATATCTGAGGGGTCCTATTCAACCTGAAGCCTGGTTCCTTGAGCCCTGCCCCATTGGAATGTGTCCTGTCCTCCTCTGCAGGGAAGAACAGGTCCTGAGCCTCCTCCACATGATGACCTCTGGCTATGCAACCAAGGGTGGCATTTGCCCTCTTGACCGCCGCGTCACACTGCTGGCTCATGGTAGGCCTGCTGTCACCAAGTACCCTGAGGTCTCTCTCACAAGTGCTGCTCTCCAGACACCTGGCCCCCATCCTGTACCTGTGACACCAATTCCTGTGTCCCCAGTGCAAGACCTTGCACTTATTCGCATGGAACGCCATCCTGTTGTCCCCCACCCACTTCCACAGCCCGTCCAGATCCTTCTGGATCTGGATCACCTGCTCGCCAGTTACGACCACGTATCGCCTGGGAATTTGGTCAGAAGGTAGTTATGCCCTCCTGCAGGTCACTGATAAAAAGGTTGAACAGAGTCAGTGCCAGAACTGAGCCGCGGGGGAGGCCGCTTGGCACTGGCTGGCATCCTGACGATTCCCCACTGATGGTCCCCTCTGCTTGCGGCCCATCGACCATACCCAAAGCCATCAGGCAGTGCATCTGTCCACCCCAAGCCTCAGCAATTCCTTGACCAGGATATCACGCGGCACCTTGCCAAAGGTTGAAAAGGACCGAGAAGGGCAACAGAAATGATCAGGGGGCTGCAGCAGCTCCCCTGTGAGGAGTGGCTATGACAACTGGGACTGTTCGGCTAAGAAAAGGGGAGCCAGGATAGATAAATATGTTTAAAATAATGCATGCTGAGGAGAAAGTGGAGAGGGATACATTTTCCTTCCTCTTGCATAACACTTGAAACCAGGGTCATCCCATGAAGCAGACTGGGGGAAGATTTAGGACAGATTAAACAATGCACTTCACACAGCGCAGAGTTGAACTATGGGATTTGCTGCCATGGGAGGTGGTGATGCAGGGTTGTCAATCTAGATCAGGGGTCCTCAACAGGGGGGCAGTTGGAAGGTGGTGGCAGCGGGCAGGGACCAGTGAGGCAGGGGTACCCACGGGTGCAGGCTGGTGAGGGGCAGGGGCGGTGGGCACACGAGCGCATGGCAAGGCGGCAGCTTTTTCGCTCGGAGATCACCGAGTGAGTCCAAAATAATCTCTGAGCAAGCAAGCAGCCGCCTCTCCATGCGCGCAGTGAGGCAGTGTCAGCAGGTGTGGGCATGGGGAGTCCAAAACCTCTGAGGCGGGCTGGATAAATGGGCATGGCAGGCTGGATCCATCCCACGGGCAGTAGTTTGAGGACCCATGGTCTAGATGGCTGTAAAGGGGGACTGGACAGATACACAAGGCAGGAAGCTCTCCGTGGCTACTAGCCTTGGTGGCCGTGTGCTCCCTCCTTCACCTGGGGAGCTGGGCAGAGGGAGGTCTTGCACCCATCCTGCTTGAGGGATCCTATGGACAGCTGGCCTGCCACCATGTGCACCAAATGCTGGACTAGATGGACCTTGGGACTGATCCAGCAGGGCTTTTCTGATGTTTTAACTCTGCCTTTTGGAGCATAGGAAGAAACCCCCTACGGCTTGAGAGCCAGGGAAGGGCTTGGTCTGAGGGGAGGGTTCCTGGCTAGCAGAGCTGCATCTCTGCCTTTTATCAAGGGTTTTTTGGGCCTAAACCTTCATGGACCACCAGAAGGGTCAGCATCATATGCACAAAGTACTGTCCAGCCAGGTAGAGGATAATGTCATGCATGCACATGGAAGGAGAGAGCAGAGCCAAGTTAGCTGTGAGACCAAAGGCAACAGAGCTCAAGAGATGCAGATGAAATACAAGACTGAACACTCAGCATTTGATACCAGCTGATTTTTTTCCCTTCTCCCTACAAGTGTGTGTGTGTGTGTGTGTGTGAGAGAGAGAGAGAGAGAGCGCGAGAGAGAGCGCGAGAGCGAGCTGCCAACTCCAAGCTCTGTGACATGCAGCTGTTCACAGCCAGAGGGCAAGCTGGGGAAAGGTAATGCAGATCTTCAAGAAGACACATGACCAATGCATAGTCCACCTGAAAATGTGTGATACTGGCCTTGCTGACAAAGCCTGCACTCCCCCATTCCAGAGTGTCCCACCCAGCTACAAGCAGGACCTGCCCTCAGTTCTTCCACTGTTCCGTGGAGAATTCCAGCACCTGCCAGTTCCAGGCTGATTAGGATGAACTCCATTTCATGCCTTTGTTTTGCACGGAGCAAGGGTGGCCTAGTGGCTATTGCAGGGGACTGGAGCTTGGGAGATCTGGGTTCTAGCCCCCACTCAGCCTTGACACTCCCTTAGTGACTTAGGAATTTAGTCCTGGAATTTGAGCCTGATACCCACAAGCCTGCTGTTGTACGAATAAAATGAAGAGGACAAGAAGAGCCTCTTAAGTGGCTTTGGGTTCTTTGCAAAAGAAACAGGCAAGATACAAATGCCACATAATAATATAAATGATGAAATCCCTCTGATCACATCCCACAGCACCCATGTGGGCCAACAAAGCTAATGCAAAAACACAGATGCATGGCATAAACGCATAAATGCTGGAGGCCAGCCCCAGAGGTCAAGGTGGAGAAGATCTCCACAGCCACCATGGTCTTCTCACAGTATAGAGAATCACAAAAAGAACTTTGGAGATCATTTTGCCCAGTGCTCTGTTTGGTGCAGATTCTGTGCAGCCTCCACTTTTACCCCATGTGGCACACCTCTGATGCACTCTTCATGTAGGTTAAAAACACAGGCAGGAATTTGAGCAGCACGGTGCACAGAGCAGGTTGCTTTGTTGAGATATTATCGGAGTGTGAACAGTGCACACGCACACTGTAGTAAGGCGATTGAACCATTTTGAATGCATATAGCAATTGTTGTGAATGGGTAGTGGGATGTTATTTCTCTTTAATCAATAGGCACCAATAAAAATGGAGGGGAAGCCATGAAAGGAACTGAAAGGAAACAGAACTGCCCTTTCACTGCACTTTATAGAAAATCTGGAAGTTAAAACAAAAGCAAGAACTGTAAAGGATTTCTTTATACATAGGTTGGGAAGACCAAAGAGACAGAAACGCGGATTTCAGAAATGTCTGTAACACCTCCTAATAACTTTAGCCTCAAAGTCTGTGTGGCCCAGCAGAGGTGACAAACCAGACGTTTTTGGCAAGACGTGAGCACAATACCACCTCGCTCACATTCCCCAGTGTACTGCCACTATTACCGTAGCTTATGGATGGCCATCAAGACCACTTGCCATTGATAATGTTCTCCTCCATCCTGTATGCTGGGGTGCAGAATCTCCTTCAGTCCATGGGCCACACTCTCAGGGTCCTTGTTGCAGTGGGAAGTGGAGGGAATGGCCCCACCTACCTGAAAATTCCAGCTTCAAGCTCCCCTTGCCAGTAACTAAGGCTTAAGAAGTGCATTTTAACCTCTTAGAATGGAACAGAAACTGCACAGGAGCCAGGAGAGTGCCAAATGATGGGTGGTGATAGAAAATGGTTTGACCAGGGCCAGGGGACATAGCTATCTGTGGACCCAAGCCTGGGACCCCCAGGTGGCTGGAGATGGTCCCCAGACCTGAGGACCTGCACCCTGCTACATGCCCTGGGAAAGCCCACCATTGGACAGTAGGAAGCCCGTTCCATCATAATGTCCTGCCATTTCTTGGCATTGCACTAACCACCATTTTCTGAAAGGGTAGTCTCGTTACGGGAAGTGCTTCCAGAGGGATGAATGCAGAAGACCATGCCAACAGAATTTTAAAATGTCTTTACATAATCTTAACTAGAGGCTTAGTAGCATTAGGCTACCACAAATTTTCCAGAGTGAGGGGATCTCTTTGGCACCAAGAGGAAGAAATTTAGATAAGTCCTTTTTACATGGAGCAAACATGGAAGGCTCAGTTTACTTCAGAACCCAGCAGGTTTGTGGACTGGCCCTTGAGGTGGATGACCATGGCCAGGTTGCCATGGCTCCTTCCTCATGGTCTTCTGTGCAGAGACAGAGTTTCAGTGCCCAGGAATCTCTCTGGTGTCATTTCATGGTCTGTGGAACTGGGACGCCGATGGATTAAAAAGTTTGCTGCACCAAAACTTGCACCAAAAGACAGCAGGCCTGTCCTGGCCTGTCCTTGCCTGCTTTTGGCCCACATCCTTCAGCGAGCAGGGATGAAAACAGTAGTTGCCAGAGGTTTCTTAGGTGCTGGCCATCTCCTGTTGACCATCAGCCTCTGTGTTTGTCATATTCACTCACCATCCGCTTGATATGGAAAAGTTTGTTCCTCAGGGACTTGCTCTCCATCTTCTTGCTCTGGTAGTCAGGTGTCTGGCACAAGAGGGAAGAGGAAACGAGGGAGAGGGGAGAAAAATGGGTTGGGACATGGAGCGTATCTATTCACAGCATATCTATTGGTGCCACACTGTTGATGCTGGTGGAAGGGCCATGGTTCTGCCATGCAGAAAGCCCTGGGTTCAATCAGCAGAAAACTTGGGAGGTCTGGGGGAAGTTCAGTCCCTGCCTGGCCAGTGCCATATGGAGCAATGGGCTGTAAGGACAGAAGGCTGCCCCTTGATGAGGAATCATGAGGACCAGAAGCTTATTAGCTTTTTGAGAAAGGGCCAGAGCACAACAGCAGAGCCCTTGCTATGGCTGAGGAAGGCCCTGGATCCCATTCCTGGCACCTCCAGAGACCCTGGTCTGGGAGCCTCAGCAGCTTTTCTGCCAGGATGCGTTAAGCAGGACCATGCCAAGCCCAGTTATGGACTTCAACCTGCAGTGACCAGCAATGCTGAGATGCTCTTCCCCCCGCCCCTCATGCAGACAGTCTGCAGCTCACTGGGCCTCTGGTCTGGTTCAGCGCAAGGCTGTTAGGATTTAAGCTGGCCCTTTCTCAAAGGCCCCACACAGCATGTGTCTGCCGCCACTGTCTCCAGGGAGGGCTGGGAAAGAGCCTTCTCCTTGGAGATCCCTGGAGGAAGGCTGGCAGGCAGAACTGACCAGCCATGCCACGTCTGGAGCCTGCACCCAGGGTTCCGGGACAGCGTGCCGGCCAGGGATGCCACCATGCATGCAGCTGAGAATGATGGGGAGATGGCCAAAGCCACCAGGTGCAGGCTGGTAACGTGGGTTCTAAAAGCAGGTGGGACAAGAGTAACATGTTCCCACAGGACAGAAACCTTATTTCTGGAAACAGATGCCACCCCGCCTGATTCCTGAAAAGGCACGGATGGGCTTTTTGTGTGCACATCTGGATATGCAATTGTCCCAAGAATGCTCAGTTGCAACTCTCAGCATCGCAGGCACAGGCTGGCTGGAGCTGATGGGAAATGGAACTCCTGGGGCCACATGTAACCTGCCCCCCACTCGAAGAATCTGCAGAAAGAGGGTTACTCACTCGTTTTAAGTCCTTCAGCCGGTTGTACTCTTTTGCCACCCCCTGCAGGAGAAAATGGGGAGTTGCCATTGCCAAGGGAGCTGTCCATGGTGCTGCCCCCCCCCCCGCATTCAGCACCACCAATAGTTCCACTGCAGTTCAGACTGAAACCCGGAGCAGATACGCCTCTCCCCCGTCGTCAGCACCATCAGCCCCTCAGGGGTCTCCCTTGTGAGCTGCGGTGGCCCCCAAGGCCCACCTGGTACTGCAGGCTGCCCTCCACCAGGTGGTCCAGCTGCTTGCTAAGCTGATTGATCTGGTCGTTGATGCCATCCATCTCGGCACACAGCTGCTTGTAGTGTCTGAGGTCCGCATCAAACTCTTGCTTATACTTCTGGCGGTCCCCATCTGAAGTCAGGGGTGGGTACAAGCTATGGGGCAGAAGGCAGGAAAACCCAGAGGAGGAGCAGGTGAGAAACTTGCCGAGATGGTCCAGTGAAGGAAGGAAAGTGAGAGCCACTCTGGTGTAGTCAGCCTCAGGTACAGAGGCTCAGTGCCGTGGCTGCTGCCCCATGCCCCATGCCCCAGACCCACTTCCACAGAGAGGACAGCCTCTTCTACAGTGTCTACACCAATGCCAGGCAATGTCTGGGCCCACAAGTGACAGGAGATCAGGCTATGGGACCAGTTACATTCACCCTGGTAAGTGACCTCACCTGGTTGGAGGCCCGGGTCCTGGAAAGCTGGGGAACCTGGTGGGTAGTGCTAGAGAGCTAGGGTGGTGTTGTGGTAGAGGCCTGGGACTTTGGCCATCTGGGTTTGAGACCCTGCTTAGCAGGGGGCCAACTGGGTGACTCTGGGGCAGTCACAGACTCTCAGCCCAGCCTACCTCACAGAGTGGTTGTTGTGGGGATAAGTTTGAGAGCTGGAGGAACAGAATGATGTAAGCTGCTTTGAATTCTTTGTAAGAAAAAAAGGAGGGATATAAATTTAATAAATAAATAAAAAAGCACAGCAAAGCACACATGCTTTGATTTTTGAACACTGCCTTTTAAATTTTTAAGACAAAGATGTTGCATTCACACCTTCAGTCCATGGGCCAAAACTAGCCCACCAGAGCTCTTTATCCAGCCCTGCAGTGTTGACCAGTCAGCCAGCCCCCTTTCTTGGTCCTCAACCCTTTTCCCTAATCATGAGATCAAGGAGACCATTTGTTGGTTCCCTGGCTTTTGTGCAGGTTCCCTCACATTCTGGAAAGGTCAAGCCGTTTCTCCTAAGGACGGGATGAAGAGACTGAAGCTAAAATATGCCAACCTTCTTCTGCACTGAGTTTGGTCCTGGGGCGGAACAAGATGAAACCTCCCTTTGCATTGCCAAAGCAAGCAATGTAAACATGGGATGTACAACCCCTTCTTTTGTGGCTCTGCAGCCAGGTCTCTGCCCTCCATCCGTCTCCCACTTTCCATCCAACACAAGGCACTCCCAAGGCACCTCACCTGCTCCAGTCGTCCTGGTCCTTCTCATCACTGGACTCCATAGCGGTTGTGTAGTCAGTCTCGTACTGGGACTCTTCCAGCTCCGGGTTTCTCCTCCGCCTCCGTCCCCTGCGGGCAGAGGGCTTGCTAGGGGTCTCCCTGGCTTTCTGCTCCAAAGTGCTGGAACTGAATGTCTGGGCAGGCTTGTTGTTGGGGGCCGTGTACAAAGGTGGGCTGGAAGAAAGCATGGCACATGATTTCGGTTGCAGTGGCAGCAGATCAAAGGAAACTTGGGCAGGCAGACTATCTGAGAGGCCTCCATGAGTCAGTGGGAATGGCATGTCCAGGACCGTGAGATGTACTTGGGTCCCCCTGAGGAGGCACATGCCTGCCCCCACCAGACACAGGCAGTGGGTTTGCTCCAGCACAACGCTCACTTGGAAGACCTCAAGGCTGCATCAGGACAGGGGTGGGCATTTGGGCTGGCATGCAGCCACGCAGCTGCCCATGCAAGCCCATGAGCAGGAGAGCACCTGCCCATGACCCCTTGCAAGTGGCACAGGCTAGCAGATTGCTTCTAATCCTGAGTCAACAACCCGGAAGGCACTGAGTGCCTTCCCCTCTTCCTCCATGAATTTGCCCAGTGCCTTTTAAATCTGCCCGTGGGCAGCCGTCTCCATGCCACAAAAGTCTTATAAACAGTAGAGAGAAGCAACCCTCTTTTCCCCTGCACCATGCAACTCAAGACCGTGACACTGCCCCCCCCCCCCGCTCACCTCCTCTGCTCTTCTACATCATAGTAGCCATTCTGGGAGGTTCTGTAGTTGTAGGGGCTGGCTGGAGCATTAATGGGGCTCGTGGGCTTTTCCGAGTAAGCCAAGGTGGCCGTCTCATCGTGCGTGCTAGCTCTGTCTGCAACATTCTTCACCTGCAGAGGAGCAGAAAACAAGCCTGCTGGCACAACAGCATCCCCTGGGCACAATCAGGCAGTGGCTGCTGCAGGACGAAGGGCTGCTGCTCCCTGCACCAGGGGCGAGTGCCCAAAATAGGGTCACCAGGAAGAAAGGAGGAGCTAGTGGCATGCTCGGAGGAACAACCTGCTCATGTCCATAATCAGTTAAGAGACACACAAAGGGGCAACCTCCCAGTCCTGAAGGACACACGAGGACAAGGACAGAGCTTGCAAAGAAGCAAAAATTCCCAACCCTTAACCTTTGAGGTCACGTTTAGGCTGCTGTGGACAGGCACCACTGGGTTTTGTTGTCCAAACCCAGCCAGGATAACAAATGGTGGAGCTCCGCCCCATGTCACAGCCGAGCAGCAAAGCAGGTTGTTTGTGCTTAGCAAGCCGCGGCTAGTTGGTTGATTTCCTGCTAGTGGTCCAGGCCAGGGGATGAGGCCGGAAGCTGCTCTCCTTCCCAAGACCTGGGCGCTGTCAGCACCCTTCGAAATGTGCAAAGAGGAAGGAGTCCTGTGCCTCTCAGGCCACAAGCTGACTCCTTGCTGTTCCTACCAAACCACCACCTTGCAGCTGCACATGTTCTCTGTCACCAGGGAAACCTGCACATCCAGTCTCAGGATGTGCTCACACCGATGGCATTTCCTTGCCTCGGGAGAGCTGGGCTTGGCTGCTGATGGCTGCAGGAGGGCCTCTTTCTACAAAGAGCCTGGAAGGAAAAGAAGGAAGCGGTTTCTTCCTCCCACTTGCCTGCTCCAGAACACTTTGAAGTCCCAGCCTACACAAACAGCCTCCTGCAAATGCAAGCAGGAGCTGGCTACAGCTGGAGTCCAGGGCTGGACATCTGAGCACACCCATGCCCTGGTCAGCTGGACTGGTCGGCTTTTAAAGCCATCTCAGTAGGCAGTCATCACCACATCTTTCAGCAGTGAGTCCCATAGATTAACTGTTACTCACAGTAATAGAATTACTCATGGTACTTTTTTGATTACAAGTATGCCTTGCCCTCCCAGTGCCTGTGCACAGCTCAGAGCAGCCGACAACAGCTTACAAACATCCATCCTGTTAGGATGTTAATAATCAGGATAATAGGAAGGTGGGGATCATAGGCTGTGCGGGAAGGACAAGGCAATGCCTTTGAATTCCTGCACCATCTCCTTTGAGAATCTGCCAGCTCTGCAGCTCAGTTGGACCGCTGGGGCACCTCTCCTGCCTTGTTTCCTTCCCCATCCCTGCTCCTGTTTTCACAACAAAACACAGGATGCCCCTTGCAGCCCCTCTCTCACTGGGGGTCTCGTGGTGTCTGTGAGCAGCAAGGAGGTTTCCTGGTGCATGTAGCCAGTGGGCACAGAGCCAGAAGGAAGGGAAGAATTTTAAGGGGGGTGTTTCTTTCCCAGGAATATTACAATATTCCAACAGTGCCACAGGACACAGGCCTATTAGCACAGATCCAAATACACAGAAGTCACTTCACTGCCTCGGCACCTGGGGCTTTGTTAGGTACTGAAAATCTGGACTGCAGGAACAAAAATAAAAGCACCTCTGCCCCAAGTTTGCACCTGCTAATTTCCATATGCTCTAAAGTCTGTGTTCGTGTTTTATAAAAAGGATAGTTGTGCTGGACTGGAGGACATCTGATTTCTGGAAAAATCCTCAGGCAGAACAATTGAAGGGCTGGAGGAAAGCACATGTGGGCAATCCAGAGAATCTGGCACAACCGGGATCATTGGGGCCCCCAGACCTAGCTTTCCGCACGGGCCACTGGACACTGCTCTAGCCCTACCTCTGCTTGGCACTCAGAGCAGCATCCCATGCAGGAGGGGCAGACTTCTGGCTCAGGCAATCTCACATTTGTTTCCACTCAGTGGGCAAAGCTTGAGGGCCAGGATGCCTCTGGACACAGACACCACCCCAGGATTTGAACTCAGCACCAGAACTGATCTCCCACACCCTTCAGCTCAGCACCCACGCCTTTGTGCCCCCCAGTGCTCTGTTATATGGCAATGCTCTCTGGCTGCCGCTGCTGCCATCTGCCTGGGGTTCAGGAATCCATCCAGCCAGGGGGCAGTGGTTCCCAGCCACACTTCCTCTAGTGGAGTTGGCAACCTGTGCAGCCCACGGCATTTTGCTCGGTGCAGAATCAGTCCTGCTCTTCTTTCTGGGTGCCATGGAAGGCCTCCTCCAGGCAGCATGCCTCCACATGTGGCTGTAGCTTTTGAGGCCCTGCCCCCCAGGGAAACATGGCCATAAAGGAAACCAGAGTGTCCTGGAAGCAAGCAGCCGGGGGGGGGGGGGGGGGGGGGGACTGCCTCCCTCCTGCACACGCCTCCCTGACGTGGGCTCAGGCCAGGATCCCTCCAGAGCCTGCCTCTGGGAAATAGCTGAGTCAGATCCTTCCTCCCCCTGGAGCCTGCTGCTCCCAAGAGCAAGTTTGCCTCTGAGACCCATTTAGAAGTATTAAAAAGGGGCAAGACTGGATGCCCGAGCCCTTCCCAAAACGGGTACAGGGTACATTTGTTACGCAGGGAGCCCTGCGCTTTGTCAGGGAACACAACGAGCATTGGCACATGGAGGGTCGGTGCTCACTCACGGCGGAGGGGGTGCAATCGCTTACCCCATGGGGGTCAAACTCCTCTCATCCCCAAGGTCAGGTTCCCGGGGCTGCATTCCAGGGATGAGAAAAGGGGAGGTTGGTGGTGAAAGGATGGGCTGAAGGCAGAAGGGTTGGGGCTGCAGGAGCACAAATATTTGCCCCAGGAATGAAGCTTCAGGAGACTTTTAAAATGGGGTGAAGCTGCACAAGAGAGCCAGATTCAGCTGCCTCCCACGCATTCCACACCCCTAAGTTATGTGTTTCCACCAGAGCTTCTTGCTGCTGAAATGGCAACATGCAACATGCAAAGAATCCTCTTGCCCCAGTCTGCAGCTCCCAGGCCAAGAAGCAGGGATTGCAAAGGAGAGGCACGGCTGGTATTCCTTTCCCTCACTTTCTCTTTGCATAGGAAAAATAAAAGGATAATGCCAAATAGGGCTAATTGCAGAAAATGTGGATGCAAACCAGATGAGGTGCTGAAACGAGTGGGTAGATTCCTTGTGGCTTTGAATAAAGGCCTGATTTAATCTCCTGAAAATTAGCTAAGTGCCCAGTCCTCATGGTACCAAGGCAGGCCATCAGCCTATTCAGCTCAGCATTGTTGATGCTGCTTGGCAGAAGTGTCCCAGGGATTTAGAGACGAACATTTCCCAGGGCCACAAGACTTCCTACCCTGCTTTGCAGTCCTTTGTTGGACTGGACTGTGCCAAAAATCAAGAACCTCAGAGGGGCCTAAAATGAGGGCTGAGAGCCAGTGCCTTTGCCGTAGTGTGGGCTGCATTTCTCCTTAAACCAGAGATCTGTAGCTGGATGGGTCTGTGATTTTGCATCCTGCTCTTTTTCTAAGAGGCCAAGAAGGCATATGCAGAATCTTCCTCCTCCCTGCTTTATCCTCATGACAAGCACCCTGTGAGGTAGGCCAGACTAAGTATCAAGGTCTGACCCAAAGTCACCCAGCAGGTTTCATGCCCAAGTGGGGACCTGAACCCAAGCCTTCGTAATCCCAGACTGCCTGGAGTCCCCTGCAGAAAAAGAGACCGGGTTACATATGAAAAACGTAACTATGGAGGGCAGGGAGATGAAGGTCCGCTATCTTCTCTGTGGGTACAAATATGTACATACATGACAGTATGGGGACCTTTCAGGGTGCGCAGGTTCTGTCCCCCTCCCGCAATCGCAGTTCCAGGTTGCTGGCCGCAGCCCCATGAGGCTCCCGCCTGCCCAGTGCGGTCACCATCCGTCCTTCGTCCTCCTCGCAGAGAGCTGGCGAGCGAGGGGGCCATGGCACCCCCTGCCCCTCCATCTCACCACCGCTGTTCTTTGGCGTGAAAGGTGGGCAAAGCCGCAGAGGCCATGCCGAAGCGGGGGCCCAGGCGGCTCTTGCCAGTGCGCCCTGCTTTGGAGCGGGCCCTTGGTGGCTTCCTGACTAGCCAACCGCCGGCGCTGGGACTTGCCTGCCTCCCAGGCATGTGGCAAAAGGCAAGACCACCCTGCCCCAGCGCTCCAGAGCCCAGGCACGCTGTGGCGCGTGTGTGTCCCACAGAAATGACCAAAGGACTAAGGCGGGGGTGCAGAACCAAAGTCCACCCTTGTGGGATCCCCGAGGAGGTCACGTCCCTGCCACCAGCCCCTCCTTTTCTCCAGCCACCAATCAGTGACTCTTCAGATGTTGCACTAGTTTCTTCCCCAGATTTCCGGCTGGCAGGAAGCCCTTCGTTCAGGCTGAAGACGAGGGGAGACAGTGCCAGTTCCAGGGGGCAACCTGCCCAGCACACACTCACCCACTCCTCCACGTTGGGACCCTCTTGAAATGCGGGTGGCTGGTTCCAGTAAATGTTGTGCTTCCCAAACCTCCAGATTTTCTGCCGTGTCTTGTGAGCGAAGAAACAAATCAAGCAGAGGAGGATGACCAGCAGGAACCCACAGACGATCGCGATGGCCTGGTGGGGTGTGGGTGAGGGGCAGAAAATTAATAAGCTTCCACAGACAAGCTCTGTTGTCCAGTTCATTGCTGGGACCTTGATGCATGAGTCCAAGCACCGTTGACTTTTGAATCTCATGCATGTTGCATTCCTATCACGTGGAGAACTCTTTGTCCCACATGGACATGCAGTTGCACACACATGGCCATTGCAAACACCTGTTGGTTGTGGAGGATGGATACTTCTGGGAAGCAAAGCAGACACTCACTTTGCTTCTTCAGAGCCCTCTTTCCCCCTTTTCCTCAAAGCCCAGGAGAAGACTGAACAGGAATGTATCTGTTCTTGCTCACTCAAAGTATTTTTATTCTGTTCTTGGCAAATAACCCCTTTGCCACTGTGGGGTTGCAATCTAAAAAGACGCCACATGCAAGGAAAAGTGATGAGGCAGGAAGAGGAGGAAAAGCCAGTCTTTCAACTGGGCTGATGGAATGGCCTCATTGTCCCTGCACCTCTCAGTTCAGCCTGCTGGAATTGGTCACAAATCTGCTCTTGGTCCACAGTCATGGTAATAATAATAGCAGCAGCAGAAAGCATGCTGGTTTTTCGATTTGGAGACTGAGCATGCACTCCCACGCGTCCTCTTCAAAAATCTGAGCTACTTCTGTATGGCCAAATTTAAAAAGTGAACTTGCATTGCTTCCCTGAATTTTTCCCCCAGAGTGTCCCACCGCTAGTCCCTACTCCCTCTGTGCTTCTAATGTTGTTTTCTGCACATAGTTTTCATGAGCGTTGCTACTCTTTGTTTGCTTGGTTTTTTGCAAAGAGAGGGCATCCCGTCCCAGGATGGCCAGTCAGGAACTCCTTAGAGGGAGGGCAGCACAGTCGCTTTTGTTTGGTGATGACATCAGAAAGCTGACGCCTGAGACAACGACAACTTCTTTTGCTTCTTCTCATGTTTCAGTTGTAGGAATATGAGGTTGCCTCTAAGTGCATTCACTTGCATATGCAAACTGCATGGAGATCTGCGTCTCCTTGTGCCTCTTTAAGCAGCTGCTTCAGTCCTGTGCTCACGTCTGTAGCTCATATGAACGGCTTTCACGGACCTCTTCTCATCAGAGGGCCAAAAGTAGAACCCCCTGGATTTGCACATGCCATTGCCTTGGGATTGTGTGGATGTGCAGCATTAGTATTAAATGTTGCAGGAAGCCAGATCCCAGAGAGATGTTAGAAAAAACGTCATGACTGTTACAGTAGCACAGTAATGGAGCCAATGACTTGGGGGCAGGGGCGGAGGGGGGGAGTCATAGGCTCTCCCACTCTGGAGGCATTCAAGATGCAACTGGACAGCCATCCAAGAGGGCTGGTTTAACTGGGAGTCCTGATCTGAGCAGGGGGTTGGACCCAGTGGCCTTCTGGCCCCTTCCAACTCTACTATTCTGTGCTTCCATGAAACTATTTTCCTCCTTCCTTAATGTGTATCCTATGTGAACCTGTAAAAAATTACGGTGGCATGGCACTCCCATGGATTTTACATGGATAAGGTTTGCATTCAAAGGGTGGGGGGTTAAAGAGGAGTGGTTGGAGGGGGAAAGGAAGATGCCAAACACTGAAGGGACATGCTTAGAAGAGGTAAACCCATGGCTCCAAAATCTGTTGGCACAAACCCCACAAAAACCTACAGCTAGGCCTACTTGATGTTATTTCTTTAAAAGCGACCTTTAGGCCACCTTGAAGAGAAGGCAGTGCACAGCATCTGTGTGATTCATGTCCCAGCAGGGGCCACCCATGTGAGTTACTGGGCTTATCTTATCAGCCTAACTGGGTGGTTTCAGGTGTGCCAACAGCCTGACTGGTCATGAATGCGCTCCAATTGTTTTCTGTCCTACCCTGAAACCAGACCAGCGGATAAGGTCATTTTGCCACTCAACAAAGGTCTCCTGGTATTTGCTTTGTACCAATGTGGCTCTTTCTGATGTCAATGATACAGAAAATCAACAGAGACCAGAAGCGGTAGACGGAGAGTGCCAACTGGTCCCACCCAGGGCCGCTCCCTGAAGCGGCCAGCAGAATTTGCAAGGAAGGTTTCCTGGGGGTAACCAAGATAGGTGCAAAAGTTTAGACAGCAAATTCAATCCACAGTGGAGATTTCAAGGAACTTTGTGAACCTGGGAGGAAAGTCATATTGGTTGCTGGGGTGCTAGGCTCAGTTCCTGAGGGTGGAGCCTAAGAGGTCAGAGGTGGAGCCAGAAACAGAGGGCGGGGCCTTGAGCGACATGGGTGGGAGGATTTCAAAGCAGAAGCTTTCAAGCCAGGAAAAGTTTGGCCTGGTGCTTGTGCTCTGGGCTCATTCCCCCAAGTTCCTTTTTCCTTCCCCTGCTGATTTATTTATTTATTTATTTGGGATTCTTATATGCCAAATATGCCATATTCTTATATGATAGGGTCTGACCCTGTGCAGACATGGCAAATCTCAAGGGGGAACTTTAAAAAGCGGGCAGAGCTTGTGAGGGAGGGGTGGAACATGCAAAGGATGCCCTCTGGTCACGCCAAGGGAAAGGACTGCAGCTGAATGGCAGAGCGCTTGTTCTGCATGCAAAAGGCCTTGGCCTGGATCTGCAAGGTCTGCAACCCCAGGCAGACCTGGGAAGACCCTGCTGGAGACGCTGGACCAAAGCCCTAACCCCGTATAAAGGAGCTTTCTGTGTCCCTATTGATATCTGTTCCTCCTTCAGAACCATTAGGACAAGAAGCTTCCTTCATCTTTAGCCCCTCCCTGGAAGATCCCCCCCTTGGAAGCAGAAGGCCTCAGAGTCGCTTCCCAGTAAGACCTCTTGTTAGAAATATCAGCTGCAGACAGAGAAGACCCTTCTGTGAGTCTGAAAATGAAAGATAGACAGTCTAGAACCCTTCCTACTGCAGATCTTGAAATCCCGCATCTCTCTGGGCAGTTGGGGGGGTGCTGCTGGCACAGCAACCCCCAACTCCTGTGTTGCAATTTGCAGGTGTCCTGCCCCCGGCCCTCAGAGGTGCTCACCTTGGCCTCCCTTTTCTGTCCGCTGCTGAGACCCTGGTTCCCGCTCCTGTCAGGCCTCCCCCAGGACCAGCCTCCCTGGTCATATCAGCCACCCCCCGGGAAGGTGTGGCCGCCCTTACCTCCTGTGGGTCGACCATGCAGTAGTGGTACAGGTACTGGTTGAAGTAGGTCCCGCTGGAATATATCTGGTTGCACATGGCCAGCAGCGGGCTGGCGCTGTAGTAGTAGCTGCTCGACATCTGGGCCCGTGGGTTGACTCCCATGATGTAGACGATGGAGGCGATGAGCATGAGGAAGGCCAGGATTGCACAGACAATAATGGCCACCAGGTAGAACCGCCTGGAGCGGGAGCCACTGGACTTGGTGAGGCTGGTGACAGCCAGGGCCAGGAGGGCAACGAGGCAGAGCACCGCCATGGCAATCATGAAGCCGCCGGCTGAGCGTGGGTTTGTCACACCGTAGTAGCCGCCGTAGTAGCCGCCGTAGCCCGCGCCAAGGCCACCCCCGTAGTAGCCCATGCCCCCACTCAGGCCGCCCCCATAGTAGCCACCCATGCCACTGCCATATAGCCCGCCATAGCCATAGCCATACTCCCAGGCTAGGGTGGACGCCACGCAGGCAAAGATGGTCAGGCACAGGAGGACGCCGATGGCCTCCAGGATCTGCACCACCCTGGGTGGGGAGCTCCACTTGTAGAAATACTGGGGCGCGTCCTCGATGTAGTAGGAGCCGGGGACAGCCGAGTGGGCGTCACAGGCATAGTCCTCTCCAGGGGGGCTGTATTCACTGGGGGGGCTGTCATATGGCTTCTTGCTGCTGTACATCCTTCAAAGGGGTGGGGGCCGTCTGGAGGAGCTCACGGGGCCCTGGAACAGCAGCTGGAAGGCAACACAAAACAGCCACCTAAGTCTCTCCCAGAGGCACCCAGGGCCTGCTTCCTTCCGCCAGGCAGGGGCATGGCGTGGCACTTAAAAGGGCCCCAGGTTGCAAAGCCGCATAACATATGCAAATGCTAATATGTAGGTGCATCTACAGCTCCAAGCAGCCTCGTGGCTCAGCTTGTTTGCACCCTGACCGAGATCACCCTGAACAAGGGGAAGAACTTAAGGGCTGTGCAGAGGAAGTCTTTGTTGCAGCCTGGAAAGGCGAATCCATCCCTCCCCATCCACGGTCCCCCCTGAAAATGGCCCCCTACGTGGCAATTAGGACAAGGGAAAAACAACAGGAGCCTTCCGTTGGTCCCAGTGGATACTCCTCACTCGGGGAAATAGGTACAGGGCTGCGGGGAACAAATATCAGGCCCTGGGAATGAGATTTGGGCACGGGAATCAGGGCTGCGCCTTCTGGCAGAGGGATCTGGGGGCATCGGGGCACTGGCCGGGCCTGTGTGAAGACAGAAGGGAAGACTTCTGAGCATGTTTTAGGAGCATGGGTGGTGGGGGCTTTCGGTTTCCCTGGGAGCTGCCCTTGGTGAAGACAAGGCAGCGAAACTGATCAGGTGTCCTATCACACTTTGCTGGAGAGGGAGGAGGCTGAAGTATGGAGATGACAGCACCAGCCCCTGAAGTCTGGCCAAGAGAACAGGGAATTAAGGGGGAGTGGGGAGAACAGCCTGCAGGGATGTGAAATCCTGTCCCATAGAAGGAGGCACGGAACTCTTCCCGTTCACTCCTGAGAGCAGGGGATGAACCGGTGGGCAGGAATTCCTGGGAAGCAGCTCTCCAGGTTTCAGGCTGGGAGGAGCTTCCTCATCTCCAACAGAGGCGGCCTCGCAGGGGGGCGGCTGCGTCTGGCGCTGCACCCCGACTGGGGCTCCATGGCCTCTGAGTCCCTTCCAACTTCATGGCTGAGTTCAGACAACCTGGTAACCCAAGATCAAGGGTTGCAGAGCACAGGCGGTCACTTAATCAGGGATGGCAGCTGGAATGGCCCGAGGTGGACTGCCAGAGTCTTTGGGGGCTGAAGAGCGGGGTCGGAACAAACGACCTTCAGCAGGATGAGTCGGAAGCAGCCAAGCCCTGAAGGTTCCCCGTGAAAACCCAGGAGTAGCGCGCCCCACCTCCGTTCTTCTGTGCCCCCTGCGCAAGAGTGCGGTTCGCCCCCAGGGCGTCCTTTTCCTCGGGGCGTCTGGCTGCCGACCCTGCCGTGCCACATGGATCTGGCCTGGGGCTGGGCACTGTCCCCACGGCCTCTGTGCCGCTGTGCGCCTGGTATGCGTTTCCCAGTGCCTTTTGGAGCGCGGGCCAGCTGGCGTGCTTTCGCCTTGCAGCACATAAATTAATCATTCCGCGGTGTTTCCTTTCCTCTCGTTCCCGAGCTGCCTGGGAGCCCTGCAGGGGCACACAAGGCTTCCTCCCTGCCAAGGAGGGTCCGACAGGGTCGCCCCTGCCCGTGGACACACGTGCACTCCGTGTCCTTCCTCTGGTTCTCATCCTCCCCTCGCTGCTGCCTCCGCCTCCAAAAACAAGACCCTGCGACTCAGGAATCGTTTGTCTTGCTTTGCCCAATAGGGAGAGGACGAGGCAATGTGCGGAACTCAAGAGGCAGTGATGCGTAGTGGTGACAGCAATGGATCGGGCTTCATGCCCTCACTGGGCCACTAAGCTCACTGGGCAGCTTTTGCCATTACTGGCCTGAGCCCCTCGCAGCACTGAAGGCCAAGCAAGCTTTCCTCTGCCCTCTCCCTTCTTCCTTTTGCATCTTGCCTGTTAGATTGTGAACCTGTGAGTAAGGACTGGCTTTATCTTTGTTTATCATTGTATCTCCAGGGCCTAAAACATTTTAGGCCATGGGTCCTCAAACTACGGCCTGAGGGACACCATTTATCTGTCCCGTGTGCATGCTTGCTGCCTCCTCCTGCTGGCGGGGGGGCGGGGGCAGTGGCTTGCTCACTTGGAGATGGTTTTGGACTCGCTGGGAGGTCTCCCAGCGAGTGAGCCACTGCCGCACATGCCCAACGCCGCTTTGCACATGCCCGATGCCACCTCGCCGGCCGAGGCACCCCTGCCTCGCCGGCCTGTGCCAGGCTCCACCACCTTCAACTGATGAAAAAGTTTAAGGACCCCTGTTTTAGGCACTTTCTAAGCATTTCTCATGTTTAGTGGTAAGAGTGTGATAGTGGCAAGAGTACTTAGGAGATCAAGGCTCCAATCCCCACGTGGCCATGAAGCTCACAGACTTTGGACCACTCATTGTCTCTTGCCTTTGCCTCAGATTCCTTGCAGTAAATCAACAAGTAATGTTGTCTTTAACTCTCAGTCTGCCCTACTTTGCAGGGTTGTTGTGAGGGTAAAATGAAGAGGCAGGTGAATGTTCTTGCTACCTTCAGTTCCTGAGAGAGAGGCAGGATATAAATGTAAAAAGCAAAGAAAAGTACAACAACAACAATACTGTTATAAGACTGGCTGATAAAAGCGATTGTTGTGGTTGTTATTAACACATCAAATTAAATTATTATTTATTATTCTCTCTGCCCTGCACTAGTGGAAACTGAGATAAGACCAGTTTTCTTTGCATCTTGCCCCTGTGAGCTCCCTGCATCCTCCTGGCCAAGCCTTGAGTTTCCAAACTGCAACAAACATGTATGGAAAGGAGCCCGGAGAGCCTTGGGCTGGGGGCGCAGAGCGAGCTCTGCAGAACAATCCGTACATTTGTCCAATCTGCTGTGCAACGTCTTCTAGATAATTCCTGTTCCTGCTTGTGCACATGCCAAACTCCTGAGAGCTACACAGTTTTCTCAGTGTGAGTGCATACACTGCTGTCCTCTTCTTTAATAGTTGCTCACTGCTTTGCAGGCAAAACTCAATGCTCTATTTGGATTTTGACTCTAGTTTGGAGTTTTGTTGCTTGCTGTTAATTGATAGGAAACAAAAGAAAAAAGGGACGGATATAGTGTGGGGGTGGGTTAAAGGAAAGAAGAAGGAAGCAGGGGGAAACTTGGGAGGGTTGCAGTGGAAGACTGTGGCCCATCAAATCTTATTTTTTATTTTGCCATTCTTACATTCGTATTCCACTTAGTTGTTCCCCCCAGCAAGAAACTGCAGGCAGTGCATACAGGCCTCCTCTCCCTGTGAGGTAGGTTAGGCTCAGAGCGGGCGACAGGCCCAGTCACCTGAACAGCGCCAGGGCCGAGCGAGGAAGGAGGATCTTTCCAGCCCAGGGCATCCCTGAACTTCTGGGAAGCACTAGTGCCAACAGCGCCCTAAGAACGCCTTCCCCCATGCCAGACCTCATGGAGTCAAAGGCGGCTGGCTTCAGGAGGCCCTCGTGCCCAGATTCCCCAGGCGTCGCCGGAGGCCTGGTTTTAAAGATGCAACTAGAGCAAAGCTGTCTTCCACAGTGCCCCCAAATCCACCTCAGTCACAGCAGCCCTGCTAGGCCAGCACAGGGCTTGTGACATTCTTCACGGCCACATTTATTTCCTCCCTCTTCCCTCGCATGAGGAGCCCAACAAGCACGCTTGGCTCCTGCTCTCCTCCCGTGAAGTCTCACAACAGCTCTGCGAGGTAGGCGCTGCCTCGTCTTGCAGGCCGCACACCCTCAGTCTGGATCAGGCTCAGCAGATGCCTCCCCAGCAGTGAGCCGTGGCTTTCCTGCTCGGACAATTCTTTTCGCTCCCTGCCTGCCTCACTGAATTAGCAAAGCAATTCAGTGGGAAAACTCTGCCAAAATTCCCCAGGCGGCCATGAGGCACTCAGGCATAAAGGCCGCATCACAAGTCCGTTTCACAGCGCTTTCTGATGTCTGCGCAAACCTTACTTTGGGCTGAAATGCCACCTAAAGTGGGAAGCAGTCCAAGAAAACGTACGCTCAGACAGTATGTGCTTTTTTCCCCAGAGCGTGTGTTAACACTACATGGAAGCAAGCATGCATGCCATGGTAAAATGTTGTAGCAAACATATTTCAAAACACCACAGCAAGTGAGGTCTTCTCGCTCCAGCATGGTAACCCTTTCACCACACAAGTTCTTCATGAATGGGGCCAGACAGTTGCAGAAGCAGAAGTGAAAATAGTTTAAGCTTGCAAAATGCACACATCCAAAATTCACACAACACACTGAGCATTATTAATGGGCATGCACACATGTACATGCACACACACACACACACACACACACACACACACACACAGAGGCCCCGCAAAAGCAAGAAGGAATGTACATTCCTAGCAAGAGGGTGCACCCTATGCCTGTCTGGACAGAAAAAAAGTCCTATGGATCTAAGAATGCAATCCCGCATATGCCTACTCAGAAGCAGGGGTGCAGCCTTGCAAGGGTTCACCACAAGCAGCAACAAGTACCACAGAACCCAACTTAATTGGATCAGCGGGGCTTCAGTCACATGCCCACCCATCCAGAAGAAAGTCCTATTGAGTTCCACTTATGCCTGAATAGGTTCAACTTGGAAAACTGATTGAACTTCAAGCCCAGATCCGCCAAAAAGCAACTTTTCACTTCTCATCAGACATAGAAGCAATGCAGCCACAAAGTCCTGCTTGAAAGGTGAGCAATGAAACTGGGGCCCTGTGAAAGAAAAGAAGGCCTTTTCTTCCATCTCTGACTTCCTATATGCAGATCCCTCTCAAACCATAGCAGAACTTGAAAGCCTCATTACCCGGGCACTTCCTGGCTGGGCCAGGGAGGAGGTATCATTGCCCAGAGGCTGCAGCAAGGAGGCCCCTGCCCCTGCTCTGAGAACAAGCTGCGGCCCCGCTCCTCTGCTGTTGCCAGTCCTCCCTGGCAGGACTTACCTCTGAGCAAGCATGTGCAGGATTGCGCTCTTTGGCATCCCTTGCAAAAGGAGAACGGCTGCACAAATGCTGCTCT